AGATCAGGCTTCTTTTACAGCAATGTTACTGCGGGATTCTTGCCAGTTTTTGAGCACCTCATGGATGCCATCGCTTCACAATGCAGGCCGGCGCGACGCAAAGTTGGACATCATCTCAATTTTGACTTGGGCTCGGGAGGTTTTCTCGTCCATATAACGGTTGAGTACGGGAGGCAACTCGCAGTTAGAAGGAGCAATGTCTGGCACCAGTGCAAGGGGAGAGCCATCCAGCTCTATTGCATGAGGTACGGCTCGAACTTTTTTGGACGGAGTAGGCTGCACTGTCACGTTGAAGACGGACTGTGCGGACGAATTTTTCCCTCTGATCGACGGTTCGCTTCAGATCTCGTAGCTGCTTTGCGTACGGATTGACCGAGGAAGCAGCTTCTTCATCCAGCAGTTTCACGACCCGCAGCTCCCTCAAGCTGAGTTCACGTGAGCGTCGTGGAAGATTGTCCGATAATTGAGGGCATCGTCCTTATTCAGCTCCATTATTTTGGCATCTGCAGCTATCATGCTGGCGTCAGGGTGATAGGAAGAAAGGGGCCTGTGCCGGTGATAGCGGATAACATTCTTGTTCACATTGCAGAAGAAGAAGAAAAAAAGAAGAATAAGAAGAAGAGAAGCAGGAGTCAAGCGAGTGGTACTAATAGAAAGACCACTCCTTGATGTATAAGTGCTCACATTACCGGTTCACCCCTCTTCAGGTAATGGGCAAATATTTTGAGTTCGAAAAAGTGTGACAGAACTTCCCCTCCAACCTAATGGAAGGAGCCCACAAAGAGAACATATCGCAAGTGTATAAATTGGAATTGATACCAGTTCCAGAAGTATTTTGCGCGCTTAGACCCATCTTGCTTTCATTCGCCAGTCTTCCCAGTAGGTGCGTACTTCCAGTTGCTCAGGTTTGAGTTCTACCAGCGCCAGCGACCCGGTCTTGGTGTCCTGAAATATTTCTTAAGGTGTAATACAGAAATATTCAAAGGATGTCTTACTGTGTTTGCAGACGAGAACCCCTGTCTATCTGACGCACACGCCTGCTGATACATCATCGATGAATATCATGCATTGGTTGCAAATGGTGAAAAGAGGTACGGTAGCTATGTACGACTACGGTACGAAAGAGAACAAGAAGAAGTATGGACAGGTGAGAGTTACTTGATTTGGACATTCACTTATCCTTATCACTTGAGATGAGATGCCATACCGTGGGCTTACTGTTAGTCACATACAGTTGATACATAGCCATCAGTCGGGTCGATTTCCAAAAGGATGAACCGACCCTACCTGCGGCCTTGCTCCCAATGGTTGTTTTCATGACCAGCCAATCACCACTGGTAGAGTAAGGCAGGCTCATCCGGGCTCATCCCGCCTTCCTCAGACCGCCTCCGACTGTTTGCCATGTTACAAATATACAGAGTTAGGTAGAGGATTGATTAAGCTCTTCGACATAGTTACAGGTTCCGTACACATTACTGCAGCAGTTGCTCCTCTCGTAATAAGTTAATAACTTCAGGCCGAGCCTCCAGAGTATGATTTCACAAGATTGAGAACCCTATTTATGTCTACAGCGGCGACGAGGATTGGCTTGCTGACCCACAGGACATTTCTGGCTACTTGATGCCAAGGATCTCGCACACAGTCGTCGTAAGTTGTTTACTGTTACAACTGATTAATTGTTGGAGAGATGCTGCCAAAAATGACATTAATTTACGGTATAAACATTTGATGAGACCACACCACTACTAGTTAGAAGTTTTCAATGAGGACTAGAAGAACTGGGCATCTCGAGATAATCGCAATCGAGGCATAGTTCATGCGGATCGTTCAAGCGGAGATAGCCATTAATAATGCCTCTTTCCTTGGGATACCACCCTTTCTAAGAGAGTCAATGGGAGTCAGTATGAGAAGCACCATTTTCGCATCAAGCACATTGTTGGCCACCCGAAAACCAGCACCTTAGTATCCGCCTACAGGATCATCGTGAATTGTGTCGCTAGAGACTAATAATCCTTTGATGGTTCACCGGTGAAGTGCACGCGGTCGCGGTCACAGCAGCGGCGCCTGCGGCTAAAGATGGCAAGGGGGCGGGGCGTCCTACCGTTTCACTTCAAGAGCAACAAACTTGTAGCGAAGCTTGGTGGAGGAATGCTTAAACTTCAGAAAGTGAACCGAAGCGAGTTTAATCAGCATGATGTTATATAATAAGAACCTGGGCCACAAATAAAGCTTGGAATCATATTTAGGGGGGAGGTAATTTTAAGTGGAACAGGCCGTTATTTTTGAGAATACAAGGTGATATTATCGCTTCACGCCCTCGCGCTACTTGCCGATGGCGCACAAAAAGTGATAGACGGTCACCGAATCCTTTTCCATTAGGAGGATGACAACAACGGTGGTTGCTTGCGCACTCTCTCTGACGTGGTTAGATCGGCGCCCGTCATTGCGACAATTTCTACAAACAGCGCGCTCGCCGCTGCTTTTCCCTCCCCCTCAATTAATACAGTAAGATGCAGTAATGATTATAATTCCAGCAAAACACGGAGCTTCATGATTACAACCACTTGGACTTCATATGGGGCCTTCGAGCGGCTGCCGATATTTACGTTCCCATCATAGAATATTATCAAGAAGGACCTCAGTTGATATCGATAATAAAGTTTTCCTTTGCTCTGTGTACAGCTCAGAGGCTCGAGTGTTGCAGTTGCTGCCTAAATATTACGGAATGCAACAGACTTGGAAAGAAGAAAATCTGAAACGCCCTAGAAATTTGTGCCAGGTCGGCTTCTGATTATTCAAACATTGCTACAATACCGCCCCTAATTTTTGTAAAATCGACGGTTTGCGACGGATTAATCCGTCGCAAACCGTCGCATTGCCATAACTTCCGCAGAAGTGGTTGAAATGATCTGAAAATTATACCATTCGATAGCCGTGCTCATTGTGAATCTAACTGTGTACCAATGTTTTTAACTTTCCTAATATTTCTAACTGATTCTAAGGCAAAACCACGATTGAGTCTCCAGTCACCTAAGGTGTTACCTGCGGATATGGCCATGTCGTAAACCCTCCACTTGGACCATGATCTTGGATCAAATTGTTTCAAAGTCAGAATTACCCACATATTTGGAAACAGCATGATTCCGTGATCATTTTTGGTAGGACCAATGATAAGGGATTCGTGTGAAATTCAGGTGAAAATTTAGGTTTAAAAAGATCACTTTGAGTTCATTGCTTCTTCGTCTAGCTTCCGAGGAAAAGAGGGTAGCTTCAAGCCAATTAGGAACCAAAGATAAACAACCACGATATCCTCCCCAATTGTTCGAAAAAATGTGCGAAAAAAAATACGGCCAAAACGCCCTTTTTTTGTAAAACGCCAAACGCGCGTTTTTTTTTTTTTTTGCTATAACCGTTTCTGTAACTTTTCTTATATAGAAACTTACGCTGTTAGACTCAGCTCGTCGAGTTCTATAAGATGATGTCCTAAAAAACTGAAAAAGTCGAAAATTGAACTCTGCTTCCTATCGAAGTACCTGAGGACACTCGTTAGCGAGCGAGTCTCGCTATAATTGTAACCAGAGGGTAATCGTTGGGAATTAAATCATTCAGGACTCAAATAACGTGCTGTATCGCGTAAGAAGTGATTAAAAATTAGATAGCTGTGTTTCCCAAATGATGCTGATCATTTTGGTACCGATTTTTCTGGATATAGAGGGGTTTTGCTCGATGTCATTTTCGGACGATAAAGCCTTTCCACTCCAAAAATCTCGAGCACTGGTTCAGTTCGGACCGCACGAGTACAACAGGCCTAATGTATGGAGCCCTGTTTTCCCCAATATTTGCAAAATTCAAGAATGAAGTCAAAAAGGAGGGTTGAAGTCGAAAAAGGAGGGTTTATCAGCAACTTGAAATGAGCTTTTCGTGCTATACTAGTGCAAATACTCGATTTTCAGCGTTTTTAAACGGGATTAGGTAAGTCGAAATTGCAACCGCCTGTCATAATTTGCATCCACTCGTGACCAAATATACAGGGGGAGCCAAAAAAAGACACTTCGGCCGAGTCACATATCAGCGCGTTTTCGCAGCCCAGACAGAGGACGTGGATACGAGTACCAGGGCGGAAGATACCCAAGATGTTCCT